GAGCTGTCCCATTCCCACGTGGGCTCCTTGTCCCGAGGTCCCAGAGTTACAGCTGGAGAAGTCTCTCACCCTGTGTAGTGAATTGTTCCTGATCCCTACGGAGCCAGCTATACACACGGCATATGTACAGGTATTTTCATAAGGCATAGAATATCTTTGCATTGAAAATAAATGAACATTATTAAATTTAATTTAATATATACTTTCTTTGAGGTGTTTATGAAAATATTTTCTTCTCTATACTTTCGTATGCGACATGATAGAAATATTTCATGGGAAGTACAGGTTAATATATTTCATCTTTATAAAGGCATATACAACTTTGAGGCAGTGTTTCTGATGGACAGCAGAATTCCTAAAGGATTTGTATGTGCTTCTGTGTTTTGAAATCATATGAAATTGACTTTTAAGAAGGAACTTGGTTAAAAAAACGCACCAATGCACAGCCAGAGGCTGACAAGTAAAACTAATACGGAGCCACATGAACAATATATTTATAGAGTTAATTCTTATATTTTCTCCCGATGATTGGTACTAACATAGAGTATTATACATTTGGCACTACCGTTTGCCATTGGTCCAGCAATTGGCAAAAAATTGGTTTCCTATGTATAAATCCTTTTGAACATTAGATCTGGCTAGACATATTTACTATTTATAAAAAAATATTTAGACAGTAAGCTCACGTTGGATAACTAAGTCTACTGTGTTCTGGAAACTCTTCAGTAGGAGCACAGCCTTCTCGTGTTCCAGGTGTACAAAGCTGTGTCCGTTGGCCTGCAGCAGAGAAAACACAAGGGGAGAGGCTTCAGTGCCTTGTTTTGGGGGAAAAAAGGGCTATTTGGCAATTAAAAGCAAGGCTGAAATAAACAATGAACACGTGAGGGTTTCTCATGAGCACAGAGCACACGGTGCTCTTGTCCTGTGTGGGATGGCTTTGGGGCTGGGCTGGGGGCTCCAGGGAGTGATTTCATCCCCGCTGAAATCAGGCTGTGACTCTGGGACAACTCTGGGCTCTGACCATGCTGAAAGCCTCAACACAATAAAATACCTTTCCTCTGGGAAAGAGGAATCCAAATTCCAGGCAGGGAGGATTCCAAATGCACCGACAGCTGTGCCAAAACGAGGCATTAATGGAATCCCAGAGCTCTGCACTGTGGGATGGGAGGGATGCAGAGTGTGGGGATGGTGGCCAAGGCTGGGGGAGATGGATCCGAGCCCCAGCTGGTGGCACAGGCAGGGACAGGCTCCAGAGGGAGGATCTGCCTGGAGAATCTGGAATGAGGGGCACAAAGGGGAATGGCTGGGGCTGATCAGGGTCCTGGCACAGCCTCAAGCTGCACCAAGGAGAATTCAGGCTGGGTATCAGGAAAAGTTTTTTTGCAGAAAGGTGATAAAGTTCTGGAATGGCTGCCCAGGGAAGTGTGGCCACCAGGGCCAGCAGTGCTTTGGGCACCAGCTGTAAATCAACACTGAAGCCCCCAAAATGCCACAGCAGCTCAGCCCTGCTGCAAACACCGCGCTCGGGGCTCCCAGGCTGAGCTCAGCCCAGCACCCCCAGATCCCTACCTGCAGGATTTTGTCTCCGGGCTGGAGCAGGCTGGAGGCGGGGCCGTCAGGCTGAACCCTAGTAACAAAGATACCCTATAAGTCAGAAGTAACACAGGTTAGGATGCTTTCTCCAAGAACTACATCCCAAAAAACACGGGGCTCCCTCCCTGGCTGGGGCCTGGGGGCTCTGCACGCCCTGGAGAGGGGCTGACACCAAACTGGTTCATTTGTTTGCTATCAAACTCCAGTCCGGGGGTGGAGCAGCTCCCTGGGACCTTCAGCACTTATCAATAACTGTGGGTCATCTTATGTCACAGACATATTTTCTGAAAAATCCTTTGCTAGGATTTTTTCTCCTGAGAAGGCTCAGAGGAAAAGAAAAACAATGGTTATCTGCTGCTGTGGAATGCAACAGGTGCATCTGTGATTGGTTCATGTGAGTTGTTTCTACTTGATGACCAATCACAGATCCAGCTGTGTTGGGACTCTGAGCAGTCACAAATTTTATTATCATTCCTTTCTGTTCTTTTCAAGCCTTCTGATGAAATCCTTTCTTCTATTCTTTTAGTATAGTTTTAATATATAATTTTCTTTTAATATAATACATATAATAAAATAATAAATCAGCCTTCTGAAACATGGAGTCACATTCTCATCTCCTCCCTCATCCTGGGACGCCTGTGAACACCACCACAATCTTACACTAAAATCCCACATCACAAAGGAAGTCCAGTGTGAGCAGGGCAGGAGTGGCAGCTTGTCAGGAGGGAAATTAAAATGGAGCAAGTGTTAATTACTGGAACAATGTGTATCATAATCAATACAGCAATCTTTGCTTCCTCTAGGAAGCACAGCTTCAATTTCATTATCTGAAATACTTATGGAAGTTGCCACTGTCCCTGCAGCGTGAATCCAGTATTATCCAAGAACATCAGCTCCAGGAATGTGTTCAAGGTTTCCTTTTCCAACAAACTCCACTCAGCTCCACGGCACCAAACACAAACCCACAGGGGCAAGAGTCCAATTCCCACTCCTACAGCCCTGGCAGCTGGGACTCAGCACACCTTGGAGTTTTTGTGGCCTCCTTCTATTGCAAATCGATTTATTGAAATGTGCAATTCCCAAAATGAACCCTGAGTGTCCCTGGCCACCACCAGGTGTCAGTTTTAACTCCCAGCACAGGAGACATCTGCTGCCATGGGGCCTGTAAGGATCCAGGGATTTCCAGGCTGCTTTTATTTGACACAGCAGCTGCAAACCCTGGAATTTCAGCCTCAAGGGATGATACTGTACTTTAGTATAATAAATAGAATAGAATAGAATAGAATAGAATAGAATAGAATAGAATAGAATAGAATAGAATAGTATAAATAATATATTAAATATATAATTTATATATATAAAATATAATACACTCTAATTAAGTGTATAATATACTCTAATTAAGTGAAAGAGACAATTCTTCAGAAATCAGCCCAAAATATTATCTTATCCAGGGAATTTGGGCCAGACACTCATGGGATTGATGCTTGATTCCCTCATCTTCTTTAACTGGGAAAACAAGCAAACAACACTCTGCCAAAATAAACAAACAACAAAAAACCAAAACCAAGAACAATGCTAAGAATGGGGGAAAAAATCTTTCAATGACACCAACAGAGAGGCACAAACATCCCCTCCTGTTCTCTGCCTCCACTCTGTGACCTCTCAGACCAGGAGCAGGGAGAGAGGAATTTCACACTTACCTTATCAGAAGGTTTGAATGGATTTCCTTGTCCGCTTATTCCACCACTGATACTAAAGCCAAGGCCAGGATTCTTCTCTATCCTCACACAAAACTGGGCAGGAAAAACAGGGATGTCAGCACTGGATCCTGCCCCAGGCAGGCACCTCCTGCCCTCACACCCCATTTCCCTGGGGGAGCTGCGCCCCTGCACTCCCCAGAATGGGAAAAGCCACTGGAATATTGCTAAAATAGAAAAATATTATAAAATATATAAGCTGGAAGAGCTGGCAGCATTTTCCCACACTGCACTGATACCACAACATCCCTGTAGTTCACAGATTTTTGCATGGATTTTAATGTTCTCTTTTCAGGGAGGAAAAAACCTTTTAGATTAATGAAAGAGAAGTTTACCCTGGCCAAGTTTTTCACTTAAACGTTGGGATAAACCCTTCAGTGAGGCTTTGCCTGGTGCAATTTTATTTTCCCAGGAGGAGCCAGATGTGCAGCACCCCTGGGATAAGTGCCTGTGCCAGGCTGGGGCACTGGGGCAGCAGCTGGGCCGTGCTGGGCTGAGCAGGGTGCACCCAGAGCCCTGGGGTCCCTGGGCAAAGGGCAGAGCCTGAAAATGAACCCAGTCTGACCCAGGAATGCCAGCTCTGCCCAGCAACCTCAGTTCCAAACGGTGGCACTGGGTCAGTCTGGGAGAAAATGGGTACTGGGGGCTGCTGCTGGGCAAGGGATGGACCCAGCCTGTCCCCGGCCCAGCCAGGGCTCCCCCAGACACACCAGAGCTCCCTCAGTCCAACCAGAGCTCCTCCAGTCCAACCAGAGCTCTCCCAGTCCAACCAGGGCTCTCCCAGTCCAACCAGGGCTCTCCCAGCACAACCAGAGCTCCTCCAGTCCAACCAGGGCTCCTCCAGCCCAGCCAGAGCTCTCCCAGTCCAACCAGAGCTCCCCAAGTTCAGCCAGAGCTCCTCCAGTCCAGCCAGAGCTCCCTCAGTCACACCAGGGCTCTCCCAGCCCAACCAGGGCTCTCCCAGTCCAACCAGGGCTCTCCCAGTCCAGCCAGGGCTCTCCCAGCACAACCAGAGCTCTCCCAGTCCAACCAGAGCTCCCTCAGTCACACCAGAGCTCTCCCAGCATAACCAGAGCTCCCTCAGTCCAACCAGAGCTCCTCCAGTCCAGCCAGAGCTCTCCCAGTCCAACCAGGGTTCTCCCAGTCCAACCAGAGCTCCTCCAGTCCCAGCTCCCCTGGCCTGCCCGGCTCAGATCCCCCAGTCCTGCCCAGGGTTCTCTCTCCCGTGGGCACTTTGGAGGAGCCCTTTGGGATTGTTGGTGCTCGGGAGCCGCCCCGTGCCCCCCAGTGTCACCGTGACATTTTATAAAAAATCCCTTCAC